TTTTTTTTTTAACGATTTAATTTTCTAATTTACGCGCTTAAACCATTTAATTTCAACACAAAAAATTAAAAATAACTTTTTATTAATTATTACAATTACCCTATTAACCTATTCGTAGTAATATTATACTAAATCAGAAGTTAGAACCACTTTTAAAATAATATTTTAGAAACGAAATTTAAAATAGTCCATTCCGAAATATTCGTAATTGGAATTTGGAGTAGACCACTAGAATCAAAAAAGTATTTAGTATTCTAGAATAATAAGTATTTAAATACAAGAATTCAAATACTTAACAAGGCTGTATATTATAGTATTATACATCTACGCACTTAGTGGTAAACAACAGTTTGCGTCGAAGTTAATACAAGTATCTGATGTTCAGTAAAAAAAAAAAATGGTACTGAAATTCGTTGTCAAAAACAATAACTTGACTATTCAGTATTCAATATACATTTGCTTACACCTATTAATCATGATTATCATACAATCTATCACACAAAAGTTAAAATTACTAAATATAATTAATGTACCTAACTCCAATTTTGGTAACACGAATCTACTTGATACTGGAACTGATTTATATAATCAGTGTAATATAAATATACTAAGTTTTCATATTGTTGTATATAAAAACGATTATCTTATATCCAGGTTTAAGTTGTATATAAAACTGTAAGTAGTATGAACATCTATACCTTTAAAGTTTAATTGTCTATCAAATCTATACATTGTTTATCCTCTTATTAGTATTGTATAACTTCTTTGTAAACTAGTTGAACTCTGCTGGTTATAAATATAATATTTTAATAAATAATTTGAAGGAAAAAGTAGGATTTACAATAAAAATTATCAAAACAGTTGAATGTTCACATAATAATTTATAAAGCATATATTTAATATTATGCTCACAATTTGTTATAAAAGTTGCAGTCGTGACTAAATAAAGTACAAATTATATAATTTAATGAGACATGTTTGGTTAGTTCTTATTTCCAATCAATAGTCCCAGTTTACATTTGTAATAAGACACTTATATTTTACAGATGACCGTTGAGTTTGTGTGTAATACTCCACAAATAATAATATAATAATAATAAAAAAAAAACAAACATAAATTAAACCCATTAAAAAATTATAAATGATGTTTACACGAGTAGATTATTAATACAATCCTATTTTTGTATATTCAAAACATCAGTTTCCGAAAAAATAATAATATATAAATTACTCAATAGTAAAATGCAAATAAAACAATTATTTTAACTATTTTAAATGGTTTTAGAAGCATGATTCAAAAAATTAAAATAAATGATATATAAATATATACACACATATATTATTGTTTATAATATATTATGTTGTGTATAAAATAGGCCAATGATTTTTGAAAAATATATTCAACATTTCCATTGGGTTTCAGTATTCACTTAGTTATTATCATTATACAAATTAATTTCTCTTTAATTATTAAAAAAATCAACCATGACTCAATGATCTCTAATATACTTTGTATATTTATGTATCTCACTAAGGGGTTTTCATTTTAATAATTATAAATCTAAAAAATAATAAACTAACATAAATAATAGTGATAAAAAAATATTCCTTCAAATTCATACATTTGGCCCAGGCGTAGCAAAATACGTACCAAAATGTCTGTAGAAATTACAAACTATCTGCCTTTATTATCAAACGCAGAGAGTGCAGCAATTGTGTCATTTCTTCTGTAGTATAGCAAATACGGCATACATGGGGGTTTTGGCTGACATACTTCTTTGTCGGTGACAAAACGTACATTCGCGTCATCAAACCGTATCCATCTACCGAGCGCCACATAGAATACATCAGCAAAGTAATGACCTTTGTTTGCCTCTTTACCATCATGATAAACAACTTGAAATAGAAACAAAAAATATCGTAAGTTAATATCTAATAATTTTACTAGTATCATATTTGTTTAGAATTTAGCACACCCATACACCAATATGTAATTATATGAGCCGGCGTAAATAAAACGGGGGTGAAAATATAAAAACTAGCATTAGTTGCTGTTTCAGCTATTTCTTTAGAAAAATTCATAGGTTGAAAAATTCCATACACAAAAACCGAAGATAATATGCCCGTCCTTAGCACAAACATACGACAATATGTAATTATATGAGCAGGCTTAAATAAAACGGGGAGAAAATATAATTGGCTGGGAATAAAATATAAAAACTTGTATTAGTTACTGTTTCAGCTATTTCTTTAGAAAAATTCATAGGTTGAAAAATTCCATACACACAAACCAAAGATAATATACCCGTCCTTAGCACACCCATAGAACAAAATATAATTATATGTGCTGGCTTAAATAAAACGGGGTTTTAATTGGCTATGCATAATTACGTCAAAGATATGTTTACCTGCAAAGAGCTTATACTGTCTAGTCTTCGAGCTAATCTTGTAATTTTTTGATATGAGCCCTGCAAAAACAAAAACATTTAAAATTTGATGTTGCTAAAATTATATAATGACACATCAACATTATCAATACTATTAGTACCTAGTATATAATATACTAAAGAATATATCTATTACATCATATTTAACGAACAATTAATATTTTTGCTTCGTTAATGTATATGCTAAATAAATAATCAATTTATGACTAATTACATTATTATTGTTGAATAATCCAACAGTGTTCTATATACAGTAGAAGTCGCCTATAGGTACACCTTTGGACCAAGGTGAAGTGTGTGGTTTATTTATTATGAAAAAAAAGTATAATTTAAAAAATAGTAAGTACTATGGAAAATTTTATTTATGTTGTGTAAAATATTTATTTATCGATATCGTTTTCTAGTGTTCATACTGGCGCAGAGTTTAAAACCACACTTGTTATGCACTAAAATCGGCTTTCCCTGCTATCCATGTGTCTTAATGAAATAAAGTGACACGTGGAAATCAGTATTGATCGTAACAACATAAGATAATGTACATTGTAATCACAGTAGGTGCATTGGTTAATACGGAATAACCGGATTTTGAGGTCATCTTGGCCCTTATTGTTTCGATAATCTGATTGTATTAATTATCCGTGTTACTAATAAGTGATTTCTACTGTATTATTAAGTTTTAGTAATGAATTATAATAATTCTCATACTACCTAATGAAATATAATTTTGTGAAATACAATAAATTGTTTATTGTTTAAATGTTAATGTTTTTTTTATTGATGTACAATATACACACACATACTAAAATATGTAATTTTCGTTATTCTGACCATATAATATTGTTGTTTAGTATAGGCCAACTGTCAGAAAATCGTTTTGATTTTCCACTTTAGTGCACTAGTTAAGTATCAATATTAAACTATAAGCACACTAAAAGTGGACAGGGACAGGGGAAGGTAACGTAATAATGTTTATGAAACTAACATTTTTTGTATGACACTACACTAAGCTTTTGAATATAAGTTTACCCAAATGCTACTCTTAAGAGTCAAATTTATGTACCCAAATTTAAAAAACAAATCTGATGAAGCACAAATAGATTTGAAGAAAACAGAAATATGGAATTTGTGTTTTAAGTAATATAATGAGCACTTACTAGGTTCAATTTTAAGATCAACCGAGAACTCAACGTTTTTTACAATTTTAGTCAGTTTTTGTTGCTTGTATTCAAAACATTTAAGATGTAACAGTAAGACATAAGGTAGCTCATCAATAGTAACTTGTTGGTACGCAGCTAGCTCACGGTTGGTTTTCGGACAAGTTAATCCTTTGATTGTGACTTTATTGACTAGCATGTGCAAAGCTTCCCGAACAGATTTTGCTTTCTAAAATTAATATTTAATTAATATTATACATTATGTATAAAAAAATTATTTATTTGATTCACAATATGATGTACCTCAATGTCTAGCTTAAGTGTGAAGAAAGGTTCAATATTTTCAGTCGGTTCATTTTCACCAGTTTTCACTGTGCGAATACGTAGCTGCCCACGGAATATCTCAGATAATGGCGTTTTTTCCATAACTGTTCTTCTGGTCACCCTTTTACGTTTACCGTTAACTTCCTAAAATATAATATTATTTAATTACAAATTTGCAAACTTACACTAACATTATTTAAAAGAAAAATGACAAGTACTAACCTTCCATTCATTGTTATTATCGATAGCATCTACTTTAGCTTGTGTTTCACCATTGCTTATGTTAGACTTGCTCATTTTAATTAGCTGGAAATAGTATGTTTATTAACAAATGCATGGTAGCAAGAATCTCTAACTTACTTCAATAATTTCATCGTTAATTCCATTAAGAAGATAACTCATAAACTCTTCAGCATCTTCTTGGCGGCCTTCTTCAAAAGCTGGTAGTATTTTATAAACATAACTTGGTTCAAATGCTGGACCAGTATCAGGCGTTTCTTGAGTAGCCACAGACGTAGCTTGACGTTGCTGTTGAGTAGTTCTCCCGTTTTGTATGCTTAATTTTTGAAATTCTCCAATGAATTGAATCCTAATATTCAAAATTAAGTTATTATGTATGATTGTGATAAGAATTTAATGTAGTAGATATAACATACATGCTTTCTAGAATTGGGGTTTGAGATTTTTGGGATCCTCGATTGTTTCTATTTTTGAGTTTAAATTGTACACTTCTCATGAGGTTGAAAAAAGGAGGACATGTTAACAAAGCCTGCAATGTGGCATTTATATAACAACGAGTGTTTCGATTGGTCAAACCTCGAGGCTGTAGATAAGCAGTTTTATGGTTCAAATTATAAACTGAAAGAAATTCTAAACAAAAAATAGTAATTGCAATAGTCTATATACAAAAATGTCAACAATAAAAATGTAACTTACCACCTAATCTTTGTAAATTTAATGTATTATCATCAATACTAGATATAGAGTTGCTGCTTGATGGTCTAGGTTTCACTGGTAATGTTTGTTTTTGGTTGTTGTTGGTTACAAATACTGACGTCCGAACGGTATTATCAGGTAAAGTTCTTGATGGCATAATTATAGATTTTGTATTTTTGTTGGTGGTTGGTTGACTACTACCGTGTATTGTGAAAACTTTATCATTACTTGTACTAGCACATCCAGTAAATAGTCCTGCCCATGTTTTAAAAACAGGTTTAACAGGTTCAGTGTCTTTAACTTCAGGTATAACTACTTGAGGAATAGAAGATGAAGAAGCCTGTTCTTGATTTAAAGGGGTGTCTTCTTTGAATTCTACAACAGGAGTTATATCTTCGGTTTTAGTTTCTTCCTTCTCAGTCTTCTGGATTTCTTGTACCACATCTGAAGGGATATTAGGGGCAGGTTCTTTCTTTTTTTTTGGTTCTGGTCCAGGATACATTGGTTGTTGATATGGTGACATTTGAGATGGGACATATCCATGCACTGGTGGAGATACGTTACCCATATACACTGGAGGATTTGGCACCATTTGATAAACTGGTGGTGGAGAACCAGGAACAACATTTTCACCATTTATCATCACAGGGTTCTCAGGTTCTGCATCACCATTAACTGTTGGATAGCCACAATCTATTATTACGCGTTTTTATGTACTGTATTTTAAATTAATAAAATTAAAAAGAAGAAAAAAAAAGGTTACATACCATATTCATCTGCTGCTGTATTCCAATCAGAAATATGTGTGATTTTGCCAACTTCATTAATTAAACCTGGTGGAGTGGCCTGAGGTTGAGTACCGCCAAAAGTCCATGGAAAATCAGGATGTTTGAATCCATCTTCTCCAGACACCCATGACTCGTTCCGTGCAGAATACAACATGTGCAGCAATCGGCCACGTTCCATGTCATTGATGTCTGTGAAATCGAGGAACTCAAACTCCTAGACGAAGAGAATAAGAATCATGACAGAATGCTTATGAAGGGGCAAATCTCAGTTAATTTCTACTAAATAATCATATCTTCTGCAGACGTACAATGTAACGAACTTGTAAATGGATAATACTTCTAAAAATATATTTTTATTTGTGAAGTTAACTTAAGAGAGCGTTGTACAAAGGGCTACATAACGCATAACGTAGCAACTTGTAAGCTCAGCAGACTATGTTTTGCTTTGTTAGTTTAAAACTTTAAATGAATTGACCTCTTATAAAGTTTAAAGGTAAACTTTTTAATAAACTTTTTTTAAGTAATTTATGAGAATTTAAAATTGTAAATAGTTTGTGCATTTTAAAATACTCATAACTTGCTTTTAAGTTAAAATCTAAAAAAAAACCGACGAGGTTCACTAGATAATAATCTTATCTTTAAATTTCATAAGAGGTCAATTTTTAAACTCACATAGATAAACGGGAACTACTGAGTGTACAATTTGCTATGTTATGTGTTTATAAAACAGGGAAAACACATGCAGGTGTAGCCCTCTCTTAGCAACTACACCAATTAGTCACACACAATCACAAGTTGACTGTATTAAGAGGACGTGTCACCCAAAGCTGTACGCATGCAACGACCGAGAGGATGCGCTGTTAGGTGTTTCCAGGATCCGCAAGCGCGCGGCGTTAAAGTTACGCCTACTATTCGCAACCGGCCGACGGCGGCGACGAGTGCTCCTTTATTTGTCTATGAACGTTCGTCCAGTACCATTCGTATCATTATATAATTCATTATACGCAAATGCCGCCGTAGTTATTTTCAATACCCTACGAACTATACAGATTATAAATTAAGATACTGTTTACTTAAATTTATGTCCCAACATATAGATCGTAGAAACTGTATTATAACATAGCTTGATTTGAAGTTATTGAATTATTACTTATTTAAATATTATACTTATAGTAAAATCTAATAAATGGTAAATAAAATAAATACAGCGCAATTAAATTAATATTAATTTACCGTGTATTATTTTTTAAGTTCAACTGTTAATGTTATATTAAAATATGATAATAAGTAATTACAAATATTTATTTAAATTAATAATATGTTTGTAGTAGGTATACCTAACGTATACCTGATATAGTAATATAATAATTATAGGTAATCTACTCGTAATGATAATAATAATATTCCAAAATCTTTATTTATCATTCTGTAATTTTTAGAGATCGGGTACATTGACTGAGAAAAATAACTAATTTAAAATGTATAGTTGTAATATATAATGATAACAAAATGTAACATAAATTTATTAAAAATTTATTTCTATAAGTAACTGTTAGTTTTAAATTACCTACTATACAAACTACTATATTATAAGTATTACACAATCCAATGAATTACAGTTTATCAAATGCACAAAATCAATCAATAGATTTAGTATGTGACCTATATTATTTATCACCACATTTATATTTAAAAAAGAAATTATTATCATATTACCTATATTAATATAATAAAAGGGTAACGAGCAACAATTTCCTATTATTTAACCATGAAAAAAATTAATATTAGTTCTTATATCTTGTTCGATTGGAAAGTGAATATCGTTGGTGCATTGGGAGGTCAAAATTTTAAAATGCTCAGTAATTTTCAAAAGCACCGGGAAAAACAACATAAAAATAAATTAAAAATTTAGTTTTTTTTCTAGAAATATCAATAAAATTTTATTTGTTGGTTAAAAAAGCTTGAAAATTTAATACAAGGCTCCTAGTATATTGTTTCAAAGGCAGATGAAAAATATTAAAAATCCTTTGTCACAATTTTTTTTATTATAAGCATTTAAAGTTAAAAAATTGACAAAATATGGAAAAATCACCAAAATTAGCAATTATTTTGAGTTAAGAATTCGTAAAAATTTTTCTTTTTAAATCTAAGATTTGAAAATGTAATACAAGTTTACTCATAAGTTTGTCTACCTTTATCAATAAAAAAATCTCTACCGGAAAGTCAAATTAAATTTTTATGAGCGTTTGAAATTCAAATTTTTACAACATTGGATATTCACTCGATTTCTCATGTAGCGATTTCGTTATTTTGTTGTAATTCAAAACGAATAACTGTAGATACATGAAAATTTCCCTGAATCTTTATATTTGCATTTCCTATACACCATACAATTTTTAAAATATTTTGACTCTTTTTGAGCTATTTACGGACATTTACAGATTTCAATTTTTTTTAGTTTTTTTTTTCTATGAATATTAATAAAGTTTTATCTGTTGGGCCAAAAAGTGTAAAAATTTAATACAAGGCTCCTGATATATTGTTACAATAGAAATTGAAAAATATAAAAATACATAAGCACAATTTTTTTTATAAGCATTTAAAGATCTAATTTTGACAAAATTTATCAAAATCTCGATAATTTTCAATAATTCTAATTAATAAATTATAAAATGTTCAGTTTTTATAGTTAAGGATTGAAAATTTAAAACAAAGATTCTCATAAATAGTTCATACTGTAACTAAAAAAATCTAAAAAATATATGTACACAGTTATTTTTTACAGACATTTGAAATTCAAATATTGACGAAATTACATATTAAAAAACCTAGAATAACTATTTTAGTTTTTTTGTTGTGATTGAACAATATTATTCGTGGGTACTTGAAACTTCAAAAGTGTATTATTATATATCTATGATAGTATCATGGTTTTTATAACGCGTTGTAAGTACCTAATGGATATTGTGATATGATTAATTTGGAATTTATTATAGGTACCTATTTTTGTTTAATACCATATATATGTATATAATATGTCTTATACCTAGAGTGACATACCGTCGCCGCTCAGAATCGTTTTTCTTATACAATGATATAATATCATTGAATTCAAATGTAATACCATCCCTTATACTTATAACCTACTGTACAAAAGAGCGACATCCACTTGCCCACCTTTTTTTTGATTTATACACTCCAGATAATTTAAAAAGTGCTCTCCTGCGTCTTAATGTTATTCGTTTATCTGCTATATGCTTCAAAAAAATTTTGGCTATGATTCCTATACACATATAATAATATTAAAACAACTACCCACATAATAATAATAAATTGATACTATTCATTCATTATAAATACTGAAAAATAATTCATAATGAAATATTTTATTTACACTTTTTGGCCCAACAGATAAAACTTTATGGATATTTATAGAAAAAAAAACTAAAAAAAATTTAAAACTCTAAATGTCCGTATACAGCTCAAAAAGAGTAAAAATATTTTCAAAATTGTGTGGTGTATAGGAAATGCTAATATAAACATTCAGTGAAATTTTCATGTAATTATAGTTATTCGTTTATGAATAACAACAAAATAAGGAAATCGCTACATGAGAAATCGAGTGAACATCCAATGTTGTAAAAATTTGAATTTCAAACGCTCATAAAAATTTAATTTGACTGTCCGGTAGAGATTTTTTATTGATAAAGGTAGATAATCTTATAAGGAATCTTGTGTTTCATTTTCAAATCTTAGATTTAAAAAGAAAAATTTTTACGAATTCTTAACTCAAAATAATTTGCTAATTTTCGTGATTTTTCCATATTTTGTCAATTTTTGAACTTTAAATGCTCATAAAAAAAAATTGTGACTAAGGATTTTTAATATTTTTCATCTGCCTTTGAAACAACGTATTAGGAGCCTTCTATTAAATTTTCAAGCTTTCGCAACCAACAAATAAAATTTTATTGATATTTCTAGAAAAAAAACTAAAAAAAAATGAAAAATGAAAATGTCCCTAAAGAGTTCAAAATAAATCAAAATATTTTGAAAATGTTATCGTGTATAGAAAATGCAAATATAAACAACCAGTGAAAATTTCATGTATCTACGGTCATTTGTTTTAAAGTTACACCAATAACCAAATTCGATTTTTTGGAAAATCGATTTTGCGTAAAAATTCCCGTTTTTCCTTAATTTTTATGTTGTTTTTCCCGGCGCTTGTGAAAACTACTGGGAAATGTTTACTTTTGACCCCCCAAAGTACCAACTAGATTCACTTTCCTATCAGAAAAGGTACTATTGAAGAAAATCGAAGCACTTTTACTGTCCCAAAACGTGATGACAGACACAAAAATATAAAAATATAAAAATATAAAAATATAAAAAAAAACATACATCATTGTAAAACCAATACATTCATCGCTCCGCTCAGAATCTAAAAATGTTAATTTACCATGCGATATTGGACGATTGGAATACGATATCAAAAATCGGATTTATTACGATTGTTAAAAAAATTCTCCTTTACAATTTTTATTATAGGTATTTTTATTGTAAACCGATTCAATAAGCCGTATCACACCATTACCTATTTGAAGAACAAAAGTATAGTTTTTATTTGTATAAAATTCGGATACGAATACAAAATATAAAATCGAACCAAATTCAATAATATTTGTCACAAATATAATAATCATTTTCTTATCTGGTTATTTATAAAGTATGCACGGGCGGTCGGCTGCGATCACGGCTATAGATAATATGGTTGCGGAACGAAACGTGAAAATGTGAAGCTTAAAACGTATAATAGCTTTTACACCAGCACACAGCGCTCTCTGAGTGATAAATTGTATGACTACATTAAAAATTATATTATTCTGTATTTTTGTCATAGTTATTGTTTTTCAACAATAATTATACAGAAGTAAAATACAGTAATACAATAATATTTTTGTTTGTATATTTTTGTTTGAATATTATAGGTATGCAATAAATAAATAATTCAGGTTTATAGTGCTCGCTCAAGTATTTATATGTATTAATTAATAATTACACACCAATATTTAGACTAACTATAGTAATTAGCTAAACTTAAATATATTATATTAATTTTAAAATTAAATTTAAGAAGTAACCAATTTTGATAATTTTTTTTTTTATTCCCAAGTAGACTTAATATCGCTCTTCTTAAAGTGTGAAGCACAAAATCTGTAACTTTTTTTAAGAACAGTTTTTAATGCATTTTCCCATTTATTTCTTTCCTCGATGCTTTTAGGGACCCCAAAAGTTGTTTTTAAAGCTTCATGTGGATATTTCACACAACAATTAACCATACTGAAATTTTTTTATTAAACTTGGTTATTTTGACTCAGAGTGCAGGAAATAAATTCTAAATCAAAATAATAATGTTTCAATTCGTGTTGAACACGTCAATTTACGCGGAAAAGCAAACTGTGTACAACAAAAATAAAAAAGGTTAGGTAAGTGGATGTCGCTCTGCTGTACAGTAGGTTACAAGTGGGTCACTGTATAATGGATGCTATTAAATTTGAATTCAATGATACAATATCATTATATAAGAAAAACGACTCTGAGCGAAGACGGTATGTCAGTCTAGGTTTAAGACATATTATATACATATCTATGGTATTAAAAAAAAATTGACCTATACTAAATTCCAAATTAATCATATCACAATATCCATTAGGTACTTATAACACGTCATACATCAATAACAAACCCTGATACTATCATAGATATATAATATAGTGTACTTTAGAAGTTTCAAGTACCCACGATTAGTATTATACACTCACAACAAAATAACTAAAATAGGTATGCTAGGTATTTTAATATGTAATTTCGTCCCAAATTTGAACTTAAAATGTCTGTAAAAATAACTAAGCTCATATACTTTTTAGATTTTTTGGCTACAGTATGAACTATTTATGAGAATCTTTTTTTTAAATTTTCAACCCTTAGCTATAAAAACTGAACATTTTATAATTTATTAATTACGATGATTGATAATTTTCGAGATTTTGATAAATTTTGTCAAAATGCGATCTTTAAATGCTTATAAAAAAAAATTGTGCCTATGTATTTTTAATATTTTTCAATTGCTATTGTAACAATATATCAGGAGCCTTGTATTAATTTTTTACACTTTTTAGCAAAACAGATAAAACTTAATTGATATTTATAGAAAAAAAAACTAAAAAAATTGAAATATTAAATTGTCCGTAAACAGCTAAAAAAAGTCGAAATATTTTGAAAATTTTATCAAGTATAAGAATTGATAAAATAAACATTCAGTGAAATTTTCATGTATCTACAGTCATTGGTTTTTAAATAACAACGAAATAAGAAAATTGCTACATGAGACATCGAGTGAATATTCAATGTTGTAAAAATTTGAATTTCAAACGCTCATAAAAATTTAATTTGACTTTCTTATAGAATTTTTGTTTTTGATAAATGTAGGAAATCTTATAAGGAATCTTGTATTATATTTTCATATCTTAGATTTAAAAAGAAAAATTTTTATGAATTTCTAACTCGAAATAATTTGCAAATTTTCCTGATTTTTCCATATTTTGTCATTTTTTGAACTTTAAATGCTTAAAAAAAAAACCCGTGACTAAGGATTTTTAATATTTTTCATCCGTCTCTGAAACAATATAGTAGGAGCCTTGTATTACATTTTCAAGTATTTTTACTCAACAAATACATTTTTATTGATATTCATAAAAAATAAACTAATAAAATTGGAAAATGAAAATGTCCCTAAACAGTTCAAAATAAATCAAAATATTTTGAAAATGTTATCGTGTATAGAAAATGCAAATATAAACAACATTGGAAATGTCATGTATCTACGGTCGTTTGTTTTAAAGTTACACCAAAAACCAAAATCGATTTTTTGGAAAACCGATTTTGCTTAAAAATTCCCGTTTTTCCTTAATTTTTATTTTGTTTTTCCCGGTGCTTTTGAAAACTACTGGAAAATTTAAATTTTGACCTCCCCAATGCACCAACGATATTCACTTTTCAATCGAACAAGATACTGAAGTTGAAAATCGAAGCATTATTTCGACTACTTATCGTGCACACAGACACAAAAAAAATTTAAAAAAAAACACATCATTGTAAAATCAATACATTCATCGTTTCACTCAGAATCTAAAATACTTAAATAGTTTTATCATATTTATTCAATGGATAGATACAGTGGCTATTTTTCAATAGGGGGGGGGGGGCTTGACAATTAATTACAATTTTATTTTTATTTTGTCCATTCTAATAATTTAAGACGTTTAGGTGAGGACATTTTGACAAAACCATAGTTAATTTGTAGTTAAAAACTTCATTAATATATTTTTTTAAAGTAATAATTATACGGCAATGGGGGGTTTTAGCCCGTTTTAGCCCCCCCTGTGTACGCCACTGGATATATACTTAAATTATAATATAGTATGTCATATATAGTTTGCATTTTAATATATTATAATAGCCATGGCCGTGGTTTGCAATTCTGCATTCTGCATAATATAGACGTGGTACAATAATTATTAGTTCTATCAAATACCGTAGATGGCGCGACAGGCTCGTAATTTTAGTCACGTGACTTTTCAATAACATTCCAGCTCGGTGTAATGCGTTGTTTAGTATAGGCCGTTCCACAACCATATTATCTATAGCCGTGGCTGCGATAGAGAACCTGTTTTGACCTTGTGCGGTACCGCTGTTAATGCGCGCGGGGTGGTGGTATGCACAGCTAGTATCGAACGCTGCCACTGACTACGGGCGCAGCACTTGCAGCGTAATTTTCTGCAGTTTTCTTATAAAACATACTTTGCGCTTTCCAATAATATGGGTTACTGAGTGGTTTAATCGTAAAAACACCTATGAACAAAATTGTAGAGGAGAATTCTATCTGGTTAAGAAGCCCGATTTTTGATATCTTTAAAAAATCATGAAATATATCATGATTAATAATATACTTTTTTTTCATTTTCCGGAAGTTAATTTTAGGACTTAGAAATGAAAATTTCAAAAATCGGGCTTCTTACGGAAGCCGGTGACCATATGTTCTAGAACATTGTCCGGGACGAAAGTGCTAACTTTGGCTTGCGCCATGGCTATCGGGAGCACTGACGATAGCAACATGGCAGGACCGCTGGGAAAAGTGCACGGAACACGCGTGTTTTGGGTACCCGCCGGGTCCAGCGGCGACGGCTGCAGTAGCAGCAGCCGAATACGCCAACGTCGGGGGGCACCACGTGTTCCGGCCGGACACGCGAACACCCGCGTGGGGGGGGGGGGAAACGTCCGTCAAAACGATTTACATAGACGAACGAAAAAATGACTACGTTTAAATGAATAAAAAAAATTCTATGTACCTGGGTCGCACTGTTGTCCATTGTCGCCACGTTGGTGGTGGTGGCGGCGGTGTCTTCGACGGCAACGGCGACGACGAGCAAATCGGCAGACGGTACGTTACGACTCAAAATGTTAGAGCGCAACACGGGATGAGACATCGCAAGGAATACGAAGAAAATGATTGTGGCGTGTACCGTGTAGTGTGTACGAACGCGAGCAACCGACGGAGAGACAGAGAGAGCCGTGTGCGTGTGACAGAGACCTTGGTGGGAGGGAATGCAGCGGAGAAATAATGAAAAAAAAACTACATAATACATATATATTTAAAGCAGCGTGTGGGCTTGTGTGTGTGAAACAACAGTAGTTCGTGCCCCGTTGGTACGAGTGTGTGTGTGCCCTTTTCGTTCGTTTGTTCTGCACGGCGTCTACAGCGCTGTCCGCCGCCGGTGCTGCAGCCAGCCGGTCGTTTTACTGGCAGTACGCGACACTCTATAGGCCCACGGATCCCGACCTTGGTCCTGATATGCCAAACGGTAATCGTCAATCTCCATAATAAATAATAATAATATGCCCGTTGCCCATAATTATGACATAATAATAAAATATTGGCGTATGCCTAGGCCCATAGACCTATAAACTACTGAAAAAGCGGATGGATAGATAAATCACCAGAATTAATTGTTGAGAGAGAAAACTCAGGTTTTAGGCCGTTATAGAGTGCTAAGATATAGTTTTTCTCCCTCATATGGTCCTCATTTGTTATATTTTCTCTCTCAGATATGTCTGGTCGGGATTAAGCAGTGATAGAGAGGTATGGGCAGCGCTGTCCATTAGTGTATTATAGGTCTATGCGACTATGCATATGCTGCCATGGCCCATGAAACATGACAATATATCGTGCCACCACCGAAGTCATTGCCAGCAGTGGAAGATCCAGTTGTGGTTGGGAGGGGAGAAAGGGGACATGATTGAGTAACTATTGTAATTGTAATTTTCAGTAAACAAAAATAACTCATATTGCATGAACATAAAACATTTCGCGATATATTTAATATTTTTTATGACATTACTATAATAATAAATAATGTGGACAAGAGGATATTATAGTATTATACCCAGTGGCGTAGCCAGGATTTTAAAATGGGGGGGGGGCAAACCCAAAATACTAAAAAAACAAAATCGATGATTAACAATAACAGTTCACATTTTTATTTTATTATAATTAAATTTAAATTTAACTTAATTTTTATAAATTGTTTTTATTATTTTTTTAAAATACTAAAAGTACATAGGCACAATTTTTTTTTATAAGCATTTAAACATCGAATTTTGACAGAATTTTTCAAAATCTCGAAAATTATTAATCATCGTAATTAATAAATTATAAAATGTTCAGTTTTTATAGCTAATAGGATTGAAAATTTAAAACAAGATTCCACGTAAGTAGTTAATTCTCTTACCGAAAAATCTAAAAAATATACTATCACAGTTTATTTTTATAGTCATTTTATGTTCAAATTTGGACGAAATTACATATTAAAAAACCTAGTTATTTTGTTGTGATTATATTATATTATTCGTGGGTACCTACTTGAAACTTCTAAAGTGTACTATTATATATCTATGATAGTATCAGGGTTTGTTGTTGCTGTATAACGCGTTATAAGAACCTAATGGATATTGTGATATGATTAATTTGGAATTCATTATAGGTCGATTTTATTTAATACCATTGATAAGTATATAATATGTCTTATACCTAGAGGGACATACCGTCTCCGCTCAGAATCGTTTTTCTTATACAATGATATAAAATCATTGAATTCAAATGTAATAGCATCCATTATACAGTGACCCACTTGTAACCTACTGTACAGCAGAGCAACACCCACTTGCCCACCTTTTTTAATATGTAATTTCATTCGAATTTGAACATAAAATGATTAAAAATAAAATGTGCTTATTTATTTTTTAGATTTTTTTGGTAACGGAATAAACTACTTACGTGGAATCTTGTATTAAATTTTCAATCCTTAGATATAAAAGTTGAACATTTTATACATTTTATCAAAATTCAATCTTTAAATGCTTATTAAAAAAAATGATGACTATGTTTTTTTAAATATTTTTCAACTGCTATTGTTACAGTATATCAGGAGCCTTTTTAATTTCGAGTTTTTTACCCAACAAATTGTTACATGCAGCCCTTCAGGGATCCAAAAGCTTGTTGCACTTTTACAATAAAATGTAGTCAATTTAAATATAAATCAATTGTAATTTATTAAAACCAATAATAATTAATATAGTCGTGGTGAATTGCAGCGTCGTGAGTTGACTCGTTGTAGTAGTCGATAATCTCCGTGTAAGTTGTGTGTAATGGCTGGTGGCTAAGCGGCCCGCCCGGTCTTGGCGGCCCTGGTACATCTAACTCAGGCTGTCTCGCTGTCCCCTATATATATGGTGGCGGCGTCCTTTGAAGTGAGCGGCGCGTGAACAGATGTCCTTGATATGGACCTCACGACTATGAAAGTGGTATTCTTAGTCGAAAACACTTTTGGGTGTGGTCGCATTCCTGGTTGTTTTTATGAGCAAATACATGATATTACGTAATCCCATTATAAAATAAAATTGTATTGATATTTATAGAAAAAAAGCTAAAAAATTTAAAAGTAAAAATGTTCCTAAACAATTTAAAACAAATCAAAATATTTTAAAAATTTGATCGTGTATAGAAAATGGAAATATAAACAACCAGTGAAAATGTCATGTACATGTATACGTTCATTTGTTTTAGAGTTACGCCAAAAACCAAAATCGATTTTCTGGAAAACCGATTTTGAGTGAAAATTCCCGTTTTTCCTTAACCGTTAACTTGGCAAGCATTAAAATATTAGAATGAAAATTTTAAAGTAAAAAAACTAATTTAAGGTCGCTGAATTCAAAAATGTTGTCAAAAAAAATATTGGACTTGAAAGTTCAAAGTTATGAATTGTATCTTAAAAGATACATTGCCATAAACCAATACTAATATTCATTTATCTAAAAGGATACATACTTTTAAAATTGATATAAAATAAGCATTATTGCATATATTATTAGAAACTTTACATAAAAGTGATAATTATACACACATTAACTGAGTTGATGCGAAATAAACTCTAGTAACACATTAAAATTTGATGAAATTAGCAGTTGAAGTCAACGAGTTTGATCGGCTTTAAATTTCCAAAAAATGATAACAAAAAACAGTTATTACTTATTATCAATCCCAATCATCATAGAAACGTTATCGTAGTGTACTCACGTGGGAGATATGACATTTATCAAAGTGTACAAATAATAAAAATAAAAATATTGTACATCGGATTCCGTACAAAAATTCACAAACTTTGTGTATCCAAAAAGATACAACAACAAGTTAAGGGCTAATATTTATGTTGTTTTTCCCAGCGCTTTTGAAAACTATTGTACATTTTAAAATATGACCTCCCGAATGCACCAACAATATTCACTTTCCCATTGAACAAGATACTGAAGTCGGAAATCGAAGCATTATTTCGACAGCTACTTATTATCTTGTACACAGACACACAAAAAAAACATACAACATTGAAAAATTAATACATTCATCGTTTCACTCAGAATCTAAAAAAAATCAAGAAAGTATCTTGTTTAGATGTATAGTAGGTGCAACCGAGTGTAGGTATACTTTGCCATTGAGTAGGTAAAAAATGGAAGGAATGTATTAAATATTTAAATGGTTAAGTATTAAACGTTAATAGATTCATCAACATTTTTAGTACTTCAATTGCAGTTTTAGATTTTCCGTCTATTAAGTCAAATCTGATTTAACTTTTTAAATTCAAAATTAAATAACGTATGTTTAGAGTTAATATTAGTGATAGCCAAATTCATTTTATTATAGGTACGGTTTTAAGTGTTATAATTTGAAAGCGTATTATGTATAGTGATATAATATGAGGGCGTCGCCCATTAGGTAGGTACTTCACAAATATGCAAAATACGTATAGGAATAATTAATAAACGGCCCACAGATTTTGAAATACTGGACGTCTGAAATCTGAATATCCCATTACTACCCGAATTTAGTCGTAGGTTTTTCACACAGCAAAAAAATATTTAGCTCGGAATTTAGACACTCAAAGAAATTACCGTTGACAATTTTTTATGAACAAGAAATAATTTACATGATACACTGATACATAATATTTAACTGCTAAACTCTTTGGATAGCAGTCGTTAGTGTAAGTATCTCGTTTTACTGTTTCCCAGAAAATTCTGGTTGTCAGATCCAGCAGCCTCATTTAGGCGTATAAAAAATGAAAATATCAACATGCAATGAAATTTTCATGTACCTATCTAGTATCTACTATCTACATAATTCATGTATATTATTCGTTTTTGAATTACAAGAAAATAACAAAATCGCTACATGAAAAATCGAGTGAATATCTAATCTGGGAAAGTGTATCTAGTTGGTGCATTGGGGAGGTCAACATTTTAAATTCCAAGTAATTTTCAAACGCGCAGGGAATAACAAAAACTAAGGAAAAACGGGAATTTTAACGCAAAATCGGTTTTCCTCAAAATCAATTTCGGTTTTTGGTGTCACTCTAAAACAAATGACCGTAGAAACATGACATTTTTACTGGTTGTTTATATTAGCATTTACTATACAGTATACAACCATAACATTTTCAAAATATTTTGACTTATTTTGAGATGTTTACTAAAAATTTTAGTTTCTTATTTATTTAATTTTTTTTTTTTTATGAATGTCAATCAAATTGTATTTGTTGGGTAAAAAAACTTGAAAATTTAATACAAGGCTCCTACTATATTGTTACAAAGACATTTGAAAAATATTAAAAATCACAGTTTTTCTTTACACAATACTGAAAAATGGCGAAAATTAGCAGATAATTTTGAGTTGAGAATTCATACATATTTTTCTTTGTACATCTTAGATTAAATACAAGATACACAAGATGCTATGTGAGTATGTGACAAATATAAATCCTTCGGCGCCAGCAGCCTAGCTCGCCTTTCCAGAGGCTGAAAAACTCTAAATTTCAACGCTATTATAAAGTAACCCGAAAATGTGTGAATGCCGTGTTGCGACAAAATTAAAACCTAT